TGTGTGTGTGTGTCTGTGTGTGTAAGCGCGTGCATGTGTGTGTGTGTGTGTGTGTGTATGTGTGCGCGTGCATGTGTGTGTATGTGTGCGCGTGCATGTACACTCACACCCCATCAGCCGGCACGCCATGAGGCCGGCCCTGTGAGCGAGCAGCATTAGCGGCACCACAAGGTCTGGGGACTCGGTACACATCCACCACCTCGTTGTTCACGCTGATCCTGGAGAAGGAAAGAAGGAAGGAAGGAAAGGAACAGACAATATAAAAGAAAACAAAAAACGAAACAACATCTTCATTTTTGTAAAAAGAGGGAAAGAAGGAAAGAAAGGAACAGAAAATATAAACTGAAAAAATAACGTACACGCGGAAAGAAGGAAGGAAAGGCACAGAAAATATAAGAAAAAAACCCCGTTCACACTGATCCTGGAGAAGGAAAGAAGGAAGGAAAGGAACAGAAAATATAAAGAGAAAAAACGTTCACTGGGCAAGATGGAAGGAAAGCAACAGAAAACATAAAGAGAAAAAACGTTCACGCTGATCCTGGAGAGATAAAGAAGGAAGGAAAGGAACAGAAAAGGTAAAGAAAAAATCCCCGAAACAACAACTTCATTTTCGTAAAAAGAGCGAAAGAATGAAGGAAAGGAACAGAAAACGGTCGCTTTTAAGCACCAGGGGGCTATCCCGAAAAATGCTGCTTGGAGAAAATCAAAGGTAAAGTTTTTGCCCCTTGTTCAGTCTCTTTAACAGACAAGGAGAGTTTTCTCTTTAACCAAGCAAATATACACACCAATGAAACCAAACTTCTCCTATAGGTAGGACAAGGCCCACTCTTGGTGTAGGCCAAGATTTCTGGAAATCCCCGAAATCTGGGTTAGCCCGCTTGTCCTTAAAAGCGACCATAAAATGTACGTTTGCGAACAAGCACTCACTCGTAACCCTTGTCGAGCATGTAGCGTAGCTTGGGAGGGTTCCTGTCAGGACTGGTTCCAGTCTGAGATCGTGCCATACAGCTGAACTCTCCAAGGACAGGAAGGTTGCTGTCAGTCGTTCTGGGCACAGCGGGGGAGGGGGGGTTATTGTGAAACGGTCTATGGCATACCGGAGCAAAAAAACAAACTGCAACAACAGCAGCAGCAACAACAATGACAACAACAACAACAGCAACAGCAACAGCAACAACAATAACAAAAGTAACAACAGCAACAACAAAAGCAACAGCAACAACGGCAGCAGCAACAGCTACGATGGTAATATGACATAGCTGCATCGACAGCGAGAGCGACTGCAAATGACACAAGTACAACCGTATCAATAGTAAGAGCCCCCC